CTTAATGAAACAAATTAATCAATGCAAATAAAACTGAGGTAGGAATTTGACTAGACAAAGTTTAAATGTGCAAGTTGTACTGAATGGCATACGTAAATTAACGCAATTTAAATAAAAATTATGACTATAAAAGTACATCGAGTCTAGGACAAATTACAACTGATCTGATCATAACATAAACAAAACGCGTACTGTATGTTTGTGTTACCTTGAAATTTAATTTTATTGGTCAAACAGGTCCAGATAGCAACACTTGAACTATACAGGATGCAATACGCGTACTGTATGTTTATATAACACAAATGCGTATTTCCTACAGATGGCAGCAAGGGGAGAAAGGAATATAGAAAGTAATCAATTTGCTATAGATGTCTCTCCTTGCACCTTCTCTCAGAGGTTCAAAAATTAGTTGTCTGCTACAAGCACTTTAGGAAGGAGGTTTCTACCTGCCTGCATATCTATATATATATATTATCTTTGTTTAAACCCTATTCTGATATGCTAACGTGCGTATGTTCTATAGCCCTGCCCAAAATACCCTGTAGGAGAGCACGTGAATTTAACGGTTCTGTCAATATTCCAGAAAGCTATGACTTTCGATCACAATTTCTCCTATTAAACATAATTTGTCAGCCTTCTTTCTTAAATACTTTTTTGCTGTCATTTTTAATAAAAAGTATCATACAAACAAATCCGTAAGTTTAAAGATTGATAAAATATAAACCAAAACGCGTATGACTTCAAATAGAAGAAACCGAATGCCTCTAACTCTGGTTAGTCCGGGGTGAGAGGGGTCTCTGGTACCCAAGGTACCCCTCCCCCCTCTTTTTTATACTTATCCATGGCATTTTAACATATTTGGAAAGCCCTGGGGTTCTACTTAAATAACCTGACATTTCTTAGCAAATTTGCAAAAATTTTGATATTTCTGCGAAATCCAGTTTCAGGTTCCGCACAGTTTTTGTTTTCATACATAATTTAGCTTTAGACCAAGGCCATTTAATTATGCAAAACTGATTGCGAAATTTGAATAACCTGGATTTGTACATCCCATGAAACATTACAGTTGGTAAATAGTTTTGAATGTCGTCTTCCATGCACTGTGTTAGATATTAAAGGCTGCTTGCAGTTTATTTCATTTAAAAATCTTTTGCTCAAATATATTGTGAAAATAGAGTGATGAGTCTGGTTGATTAATTGATAGGTTATAGGCTCGTTGCCTTCTTGACTAATCTCCTTTACTCAGGACGCAGTTTGTTGCAAACATACATAGCCGTATATTTCATACCTACAATAGATGTATGTATAAATAATCTTAATGACAATGTTAATAAAATTAACGACCATGTTAATGAAATTAATAACAATGTTAATTTTACAAAATGACAATGTTAATAAAATTAAACATCCATGTTAATGAAACTAATGACATTTTTAATTTTCAAAATGACAATGTGAATAAAATTAAATGACCATGGTAAAATCGGTTCAAAACAGAGGCTCTGGCATCAATAAAAAACTCAGTTTGTGTGTCCGACAAAATTATTAATAATTGTGATAATTTTAGAATAAACTGCTTATTTTACAGAAAAAAAGTGCAATTTATTTTCTGTTTTTACACTTTTTTATTTAATCTTGGAAAACATGTCAAATAATGTGAAAAAAGTTTGTTTTCCTTGTTATATTTGACACTTGTGACGTCGTGTATAATTGATCCATTTCTCTGTTGCCACCTATTGTACTTGATAATCTATTTGGTAAACATTGTATCAAGAGTTGCATGTAAAACAATTTTAAATATTAATAGTCGTAAAAATGGATTTAATCTAATTTCCAGAAATTTTCATATTACCATAAAAGAAACCTCAATATTAACTTCAATATCAATATCTTTAACTTTGCAAAACATTTCTACAGAAATTTTTCTAATCTAGAATCAAGTACAGCAATCAAGATAATTAATACCGAGGAATTAATTAATACTGAGATTCTTCTATCTTTATATACTTATGAACTTTTGTAATTTTTTTCCCGCATTTTTTTGTATTCTCTCACAAGTCAGGGCAAAGCTAGTAATTATTAATATTAACATGTTTAAATATTTAATAGTTCTTGGTTATGTAAACATGAACAAATTGGAGTGTTTAAACAGTCCCGGGTATCAGCTTAGAGCCTTTTATCAGGCAGAACCAGCAACATGATTTTAATCCTTCTCATGTTGTACAATGCAAGGTAATATTTCATTAATTCAAATTTATATTTGAAAATCTTAAATATACAGGGTGTTTCTGAAAAAGGTGTTTCTGAGGCTTTTTAGCCTACTAAATATCGTTGTATTGTGTTACGAAGTGCTTCTTAAAGGTACAATGAGGGGGGGGGATGTGCTCGTCAGTAAAAAATTTCAGTCTAAAATTCCGTTTAACCCTTACCAAGGCCTAAAATTTTAAAAATGTGAGCTTGGTATCTTTCCAAAGATTTTCAAAAAACACACATTTTTATTTTTATGCTTTATTTATACGAAACATAGTAGGAAAAAACTTGCCCATTTTCAATGATAGACTTGAGGATTTTTTCAAAATAAATGAAAAAATAAGATGTTTAATTTTTTTGAAAATGACGACGACCCCAAATTTACGGGCATTGTACCTTCAAGTGACACATTTAAGGTACAATAAAACGACGTTTTGTTGCAATTTATATCTTTTGAAATGCAGGAGCGAGCACATTTCGATTATTAGGCCTAATTTTTAAAGTTAAAAGGTTAAAAATGTTTTATCGATGACCATCCCATATATGGGGTCTGTACCTACTAAGAACACTTTTCAACAATATTTAGTAGACTAAAAAGCTTAAACACACACTTATTTAGAGACACCCTGTATACAACTTCCAAAACAACATTATACATAGTGTACGGGCATCTTTCTTCATCCAATATCTGACATTTCAAATTAAATTGACGTTTACAGAAATACGAGTACAAGCCTAAACGAAGTATACAACATTGTGAACGAACCATTAATAACATTAGTTAAGTTTAATTTTTGACTTTGCACGCTTACTAAAAGCAATTTTGTATTGTTTTAAGTTTTGGCGATTTAAAAAAACTGAACATATTGTTAAACTCTTTTTTTTCAATTTCTCTTAATTTAAGGTTGTTAGAAGCTGTTGACAGCAGTTTGTTTCTCCAAGAAATGGTTCCTGTGTCAAATCTTGTCGTATTTGAGGAACCAGGTTTATAAAAGGGGTTGTAAGCGTAATTTCAAGCGACCTTCCATTTGTAAAGTGGCATGTCCTATTTACAACGATACCCTTTAAACCTTTGTTTGATAATGGATTTCGTATATATACTTATTTATATAGCGGGAAATTAACTGCCAAGAAACCGCACAGCACGGAGTTTCGAGTTTCCCAGCACTTAATCATCAGCTATACAAATGAGGGTATCTACTATCTACCACTTCGATGTCCGGACAAAGGCTTGAAGGGTACTGTTGTGAATCAGAAATGTCTTTATTTAATTGGAAAATCACTTAAAATTTGGCTTGCAATCCCTTTAAGTCAGAAACTCACATACATTTCACTACAGAAGCATTCATTTGGCGTACAGTTCCGGTTTGCCTTACATAATACATTGTACTGTACAGCTTGTTCTGGCTGGTTAATAGTCAACCCGGTTCTTGAAATGAACTGTAGTTTATATTGCACTGAATGTTCGCCACAAACTGTAATGTGTTAAGCGTACACAGTATACTTATATCATAAATAGGGTTTGTTTTGTTTCGTCGGGATATGTTTTGTATGTGCCACTCATTTTATAATCCCAATTTCGACCCAATGTCGAAGACCTTTGATATTTTATTCTAGAATTCTGCTAGATTAAGTAGTTCAGATTTGAAATATCAGAGGATTATAGTTTACAGGGGCGGATAAAGGGGGGGCGGCAGGACCTTTGCACCCCCCTCTGAGATTTCACAATAGCTTCTCAAGGGAAAAACAACCTGGTGCAAAACAGAAAAAAAATTCGCCTGCGCCGCGGCTTTTGGTTCTTAAATCTGGATATCTGAAGGATAATAGAGATGGGTTTAGGCAATGGTTTTGCTCTTAAACTTGAGGTACTTACATACATGTCCCATAGTCTAACTTTCAGGCCAGGTTATTAGAAGAAAATGAGACCTCTAATTTTTTTTACTTGCGACTATTTTTTAAATGTGTCAGCTATTATGACATTCATTACTCAAGGGCTTATCAACTTTATAAATTTTAAATCTGTAGCTTAATTAGTTAATTAATTATTGAAAATAGTCAATAATTTTATTTAATTGACTATTTTAATTTTTCTGAAACACCGACCAGCCGTTGAACCGTCCTCTGACTCCGCCCTACAATCTACATGCATTAAAAAACGTTTTTTTTTGCAAAATTGCAAAACTATGAATTTAAAAAAGGAAAGAAGTTTGAGCGTTCTAGTGTAAGCATTTTTCAAGTTATAAAGAAAAAAACCAGTGGGGAAGGGGGGTATTTATACAATATTGTTACAAAGAAAATATATATTGTACTACAAGTAAATTTTAAATAAATTATTATGTTCAATTGGTCTGTTTGCAACTTTTAACTGGTTTGTCCCATTCTCAGTGGACTATTGAAAGTCCTAACTGAAGTGTAAATGTCGTCTTCATATTCTAAAGTTTTCTAAATCCCCATGTGTTAAAAATGAAAAAAGGGTGATAAAACAAATCATTTAAATACGTTGGTAGGCGATTATATCAATACAATGAAGACAACTTTTGGTATGTTAAACAACATAGATACACTCAATCATAGAAGTCAAGAGAAGCTATCAATTAAAACAGCTTCATTGGGATCAGTTGTATACTTGTATTTCGTAAACAGCTCGTTAACAATCAAAACTTAAAGAAAAAGTCGTCTTCATTGTATTGACATTACCGCTTACCACTGTAAGTTATTAGAGTAATGATATATTTTTATCTAGATTATGTGGAGTCGGCTCTGGTTTGCAGTTTCATGTGTTTAGAGAAAAATGGTAAAAATATAGCTGTTACACTTTTAAAATTCATAAAATAGGCTTTCGTTACCTTGGAAGTTAATTGCATATGAAATAGTTGTGAGATGCTGAAAATTGATTATTGCAACTGTAGTATGAGCTCAATAGCTCGGAACAGGGATAGTTTCATTGATGAACCCCTTCTGTTTTCATTTGGACCCAGAGGAGCGGGGGAAGGCAGGCGGCCATGAGCCACCACTATTTCCCCTTCCGTGCCACATATTAGCTTAATGAGTGATTTTAAGATGGATTTAGTATAATGAGTCAGTAATTAAATAACCATTAGACTTTGTGATATTTCAAGATGCAATACTCAGTCAATTTTGTCAAAAATTTCATTGTAAAACAGTTTAAGAATTCAACACACAAAATATTAATCTTAAGTAGAATTGAAAAAATGGTTTGAGTTGTGCTTTTTTGAGTGACGCGGCTGGATTTTTTAAATCAGACTTAAAAGGCCCTAAATATACCATTTAAAAAAGTAGTTTTGCCCGGAAGAGTCAAATGTGGTGGTACGGAAGGGGAAAAGTGGTGGCTCATGGCTGCCGGAAGAGAAAAAGCTAATATGTGGCACGGAAAGGGAAATAGTGGTGGCTCATGGCCGCCTGCCTTCCCCCGCTCCCCAGAGTTAGCTAAGCTCAGATTGCAATTATTCGTAGATGAAGAAGTGGGTTTTTCCCTTAATTTCCAAAAGTTTATAATTTTCTGCATGCTTAGCGGCTTTATTTAATGTTATGTAAGACATTTCCGTCACAGACTTGATCCGCTGTAGTGTCATGGGGACAATTCTACCTTGCATGGGGCGGATTTCCTCATAGTTTTAACCATTTATAAACACAATGTTAAACATAAAACATTACAAATTATTAGTTGACATATATTCAATACGCATTAAGTTCTTAAATGTATTTAAAGAGGTAAAGGCAAAAAAGTTATTTTCTCTTTAATGTCGTCTTCGGAAAAGATCTTTAAATTAAGACGTTATTCTTATCAGGCCTTACTTACCTTTTATGCCTTTTTTAAAATACAAAATAACTTTTCAAGAGAAGAAGGATGGATGTTGAAAATAACCTTCCCCTAGCTCCTTGAAAAGTGTAAAGTATGGTTTCAAAGGG